GGGACCCCCCCCCCCCCCCCCCCCCCGGGCGGATCTTGCGCCGAATGTGGCAATGAGTGGCCGAATCCTCGGCTTTGGGACGTTGCTTGAGACGGGGCAACGGTCGAACGAGAGACACGGTACGCAATCGTTGGTTGCGTGCGAGGGTATGGAATGCAGTCGACGGGCGGGCTTGTACCCTGCGGCGTGGAATGCACTCCCTATATAGTGACCTGATCGAGGAGCTTACCTTTATCGCGCCTTAGCATATACCATCGAGGGCAACTCGTTCGGCAAGATAAGCTGCCGTCTTTGAAGATGGGTCCAAAGATGGTGCCATGAGAGGGGGAACGAGTTCCTTACTTGTCCGTAGTTAGTGCCGGATGATAACGCGTCGTCACTACGGTCGAAATATCACTAAATATCACTTATCAGTATGCCGAGAGCAGCTCCGAAGGCACCATGGTATCCGTTTATGTTGAAGGGATCCATATTGAGGCGATGGCCGCGGTCCCGCGCTGTGCTGCTAGCTCAGATATTGCCGCGACGATTAGAGGATGTAGTCCACAACTGCGGGTGTTCGTGCAAGAGGCGGAAGATACACGTCCTGCAAAAAGGGACGTCATCCGACATACGTCGCGAAAGCGTTCGGGCCCACGGAGCGCGGTTTCTACGGACGGAGGGAGGCAAAAGTCCAAGGGGATGGACACACGCACACACATCGCACCGCGGATCGTACTTCCCGAAGCGTGCGGGTTCTCGACTGCCAGAAGGTCTGATACGCCGTAGTCTTGTTCGCAAGGGCTCGAAATGGACGGTTCCCCAATCAAGTTCCGCCCGTGTTGGCCTAGCGTGATGCGCCGCCTGACAGGGCGGATAGGAGCGAACGTCATCGGCGGTCGAAAATACAGCCCAAGCGCTGATGCTGGGAGGTATATAAAGAGAAACAGACATGGCAGAGAGCATCAACGGGTTTTCTCGAGATGCACGACGCCATGAACAGCGCCTGCGGGTTGGTCGAGCACGTCGTGGACGAGTCCAAGCGGTTGAAGGCGTTTCGGTGACTTGTTCCCACGCGTATCTGCTCGGACATTCCGCTCACCAAAGTCTTTGCTTGCTTAGCTCTGGCGAAGGTCTCGTACGGATATCGGGGCATGGGCTCAGCATCGCGGCTGTCAGCGCCGTATCGCGCTTTGGCACGGCCGTGACCACCTGCGACAAAACCGAGCTTTCGGCGAGTGTGCACCACGCTAAGGTCAACGGGCATGCGAACGGGCATGCGAACGGTGCTAGTGGCGATCATTCGTCCAACAAACGCGCATATACGGACGCTGCCACCGGCGGCGATGAAGCCCCCACTAACACGAAGAGACGCGTTCTCGCTAGCCGACGCGCGATCGAATCGAAGATCGCGGACGGGAAGAGCGTGTACGGCGTAACGACCGGGTTCGGAGGGAGCGGTAAGCCACCACCATTCTTCTCCTTCCCTCTCAATCTGTATCCAACTCGGGATTCTGACCGCCTATATGCGCACGCAGCCGATACCAGGACGAAAGAAACGCACTTGCTCGGCCTCGCGCTCCTCCAGCACCAGCACGCCGGCATCCTCCCCGTACCCATCTCGGCGGATGAAGAAGAAGAAGAAGAAGAAGAAGTGACGCGCCCGCTGCCGCTGCTCGACCCGCTGGCATCGACGAGCATGCCCGAGGCCTGGGTGCGCGCCGCGATGGTCGTCCGCGTGAACAGCCTTATCCGGGGCCACTCCGCCGTCCGCTGGGAGCTCATCGAGCGCCTCGTCGCGCTCCTCCGCGCCAACATCGTCCCGCTCGTCCCGCTCAGGGGCAGCATCTCCGCATCGGGAGGTCAGTTCTTCGCTCCTCTTATCTTTGATCGAAACGGGCGGAACTCATTCGTCTTCGGATATCGTTTTTTTCTTCTTCTTTCCCTTTCTATTGCGCGTCGTTCTGGGTAGATCTCTCGCCGCTGTCGTACGTCGCGGGGACGATCATCGGGAACCCGGCGATCCGCGTCTGGGACGGTCCGCCCGGCGCACGGCGCGTGGTGTCGTCCGCGCGGGCGCTCGCCGCGCACGGGCTCGAGCCGCTCGCGCTCCAGCCGAAGGAACACCTCGGCGTGCTGAACGGGACGGCGTTCAGCGCGGGGCTCGGCGCGCTCGCGCTCTCGGACGCGGCGTCGCTCGCCTCGCTCGCGCTCGTGTGCACCGCGATGGGCGTCGAGGCGCTCCGGGGCGCGCCCGGCTCGTTTGCGCCGTTCGTGCACGAGGTGTGTCGGCCGCACCGGGGGCAGGTCGAGGCGGCGCGGGCGGTGAGGCGGTTGGTGGAGGGGAGCGCGTGGGTGCAGAGGGAGGGGGGAGGGGGGGAGGAGAGGACGGTGGAGGAGGATGCGGGCGAGTTGAGGCAGGATCGGTACCCGTTGCGGACGGCGGCGCAGTGGCTGGGGCCGCAGATGGAGGACGTGATGGCGGCGGTGGCGAGCGTCGCGCTCGAGTGCAACTCCAGTTCGTTTTTTTTCGTTTTTTTTTTCTGTTCTGCGCGGGCTGACGCTTTTTTTCTTTTTTCTAGCGACGGACAACCCGCTCGTGGACGAGCGCGGGGCCGTCCACCACGGCGGCAATTTCCAGGCGACGGCGGTGACGAACGCGATGGAGAAGACGCGGCTCGCGATGCACGCGATCGGCAAGCTCATGTTCGCGCAGATGACGGAGATGCTGAACCCGGCGACGAGCCGCGGCCTGCCGCCCTCGCTCGCGGCCACGGATCCGTCCCTGAACTTCCACGGCAAAGGGCTGGATATAGCCGGGGCGGCGTACGTGAGCGAGCTCGGGTACCTGGCGGGGCCGGTGTCGACGCACGTGCAGAGCGCGGAGATGCATAATCAGGCGGTGAAGTGAGTAGCCATCTTTTGCTGGGTGTGGCGTGGAGGAGGAGGGCTGACGCGAGGCTCCTTTGCCGGCTAGTTCGTTGGCGCTGATATCGGCGAGGGCGACGGTCGATTCGGTGCAAGTGCTGTCCCAGCTGATGGCGTCGTACCTGTACCTCCTGTGCCGAGGTTCGTGTTTGATTCGTTCCCGGTCCGAAAGCTAACGCGCATCGCTCCTGTTCAGCAATCGATCTCCGGGCTATGCAGGCCGACCTCGAGGGCGGCGCGGACGCCATCTTGGAAGACGAGCTCGCGAAGCATTTTCCGCGCCTCGTCGTCGACGACGACGGTGGCGCGCTGCTGAGGACGGTGCGGCGCGCGACGAGGGACGCGTTGGACGCGACGACGAGCATGGACGTTGCGCCGAGGATGCGGAAAGTGGCAGAGGCGACGGTGGTGCCGATCCTCGACCATGCTGCTGCGGAGGTGAAGGTGGAGTCGGTGCAGGCGTTCCGCGCGGGCGTCGCGGGGAGGATGGGGGAGCTGCTGAGGGAGCTTAGGGAGGAGTACGTCAAGGGGACGAGGAGCGCGGAGGGGAGGATGGGGAGGACGGGGAAGATGTATGCGTTTGTGAGGGGGACGCTCGGGGTGAGGATGCACGGAAAGGAGAATTGGGGGATGTTCAAGGAGGGGTTGGGGGTGGAGGATGTGACGGTGGGGGAGAACGTGTCGAGGGTGTATGAGGTGAGGAGCTTTGGGTATCTTCGACGGATGGACTCGATGCTGATTCGGCGGTTTGCGTTCTCCAGGCGATCAGGGATGGTCAGATCAGGGATGTGCTCGTGGAGATGTTGGGGTGATATATCGCGAGCAGATCTAGAATGAAACGGTTCGTGTAGAGATCGACTGATATTCTAATCTCTTGTATACTACACACGCTTCGTGCGCTGTTATATCTATCGGGTGGCCTACTTTGTCCCGGCGAAGACTTTCGGGGAGTGCTATATAAATATTGCGTTATCGGAAACTGAACACGCTAGAGCCACGCCGCGGCGGATCGGCGATATGTTGCCGTGAAGAGCAGTACTGCTGCTGTTTTCTAGCTTGAAACATATTGGGTCTCGGTACGCGCGAGAAAGCACACGAGCCGTGCGACTCGGTCAAGAGATGCAAGGTGTGTAGGAAGGACGTGCGAGTGGATTAAACGCCGAGGAAGGAAACGCGAGTGCCATATGAGCAGAGAACTGCGATCAAGCGTGGAAGACGTCGAATGGTGGACGCTGCATTTAGAACCTCAGGGTGCCGAGACCATCGCGCGAGGAGAGGTGGCATCGACTTGATCCAAAGCATCTAAAGCCTGGCGGATCGAACAAGCGGCCAGTCAGACCCTGCTCCGGAGTACGCGGGTCCGTTGAAAGGAGGGCACCATTCGGGTGTCTGCGTGAAGCCGTTACCCGTTACCAGTGGCGTGTGCTGTCGTGGAGTACCCCATCGCGGATCGACGTGTTGGGGTAAGGCAAGGCCGCGTTGGAACGGCCCTGCGAGGCCGCATGTGGAGAAGGATCTGCGCGAAGGCGCCTTGCGATAGTGATGGCGCGGTAGGTATCGGTGCACATGAACAGCTGCAGGAGAAGACGCCGGTGCCCGGGCAGAATGTGCGGCGGTGACGTTGCAGGAGTATGTACGGAGGCTACGAAGACCGGAAAGCTATCGAGTTGGCAGAGTTACTGCTGACCGTGCTCGGTTCTGATCGTGGTGATCAAATGCGATGCGCTGCGCCAGAGGCTGCGTTGCACAGGCCCACGGATGGCGAGCCTGTGCGCCGTGGTAGGGCCCCGTGATATACTGTATGATACCACCACGGCGAAGTCGTACGATAGCGGGAGAAACACGCAGGTGTGCGCTGCGGTGGACTGGATCAGCAAACGCAGTGCAGACGAGGGAGGAGGGGAGGCTAGGGGGTGGCGTGGGCAGGGTGAGAAAAGGCAGGGGTCGGGCTGGGACGGAGCCTGTGATGACACCCCCCCGTCGTATCAACGTGCCGGGCTTGAAAAGCAACCCTCCCGCAACGTCTCCCGACCGCCTTGCGCCCTTCCTCTGACCAGGCCATCCGAACGACCCTCCAACGAACACCTCGCGCAAGCCATGTCCGAGATACGCAGGAAGCTCGTCATCGTCGGCGACGGTGCTTGCGGAAAGGTAGGAGTCGTCTTAGCGTTGCTGGCGTGCGGCGCTCTGCTGGCGCTTCGGCCGGGTCGGTGGTGATGCGGGACTGACTCTTGCCGCTGCAGACCTGTCTCCTCATAGTCTTCTCCAAGGGTACCTTCCCTGAGGTGCGTGCCCGTGTTATCGTCACTACCTGCCGAATAGCGCTGACGAATCGTTCGATTTTGGTTCCTCCTCCTCCCTTCCTCCCCCGCGACGATCTATCCCACAACAAACGACCCTGTCATCCGCGGAAACGACGATAGGTCTACGTGCCGACCGTGTTCGAGAACTACGTCGCCGATGTCGAGGTCGACGGCAAGCACGTCGAGCTCGCCTTGTGGGATACCGCCGGCCAGGAAGACTACGACCGCCTCCGCCCGCTCAGCTACCCCGACTCGCACGTCATCCTCATCTGCTTCGCCATCGACTCGCCCGACTCGCTCGACAACGTCCAGGAGAAGGTGCCGTTTTTTCTCTTTTTTTTACCGACTTGGCCGTTTCCCCGAGTCGTTTTGAGTCATGCGCGCTTACGCGATCGTGTGTGTTTGCTTCACAGTGGATCTCGGAGGTGATGCACTTTTGCGCCGGCCTGCCCATCATCCTCGTCGCGTGCAAGAAGGATCTGCGTCGCGACCCGCGCGTCATCGAGGAGCTACGGAAGACCAGCCAGAGGCCGGTAACACCCGAAGAGGTACGTCTGTTGTCCCGTCTTCACCCCTTTCTGATCTCCTCGTTTTCTGTTCTGTTCTCCTTTCTTCTCTGGCTGTCGTTGTTTTGGTGGTCGTCTGCGTTGCTTGGGTTTCGAGGGACGGGCATCTCGGCCTTCTAAAGAGTTGCTCGATGGTGCGATGACGACACCGCGTTCGCCAATCGTGACACGTCCGGTTTCCCAGCCCGCTCCGTTCCTTCTCATGTCCCTTGTCATTCATTCTTCTCGCACGATGGACTTTTTTTTCCCGGGCTCATCTGAACCTTGTTCTTTCTCGTGTCTCGCAGGGCATGGCCGTCGCGCAGAAGATCGGCGCGCGGCACTACCTCGAGTGCTCGGCGCGCACGGGCGAGGGCGTGCGCGAGGTGTTCCAGTACGCGACCCGGGCCGCGCTCCTTAGCCGGCCGAAGGGTGGCAAGAAGCACCACTGCGTCGTGCTCTAGGCGGTGTCTGGGGGGCCTAGCGGGATCTTCGACCGGCGGCGGAGAAGGGTAATAGGTGGGCGCGGGCGGTGGGTGAGGGGAAGGGGGAGGGTTATCTTTGCGCGGTTGGTTTTTTTTCGGTCTGGACGGAAGGAACGGTTGTGTTGGATCTCTCTCGCTCGCTCGCTACTTGCTACCCCACCTCAACATTCCCCCTCGCCACACCCTCGACGATCACTTGAGCTTCTTTGCACTCCCACCCTTTGACTGCGTGCCCTTCGACCTCCCGACGCCGCCGCCGTCACGACCCGCCCGCACGAGCGCCCCCCTTTTCGCTTCCTTCCCTCCCTCTCTTTCTCCCGTCTGGCTTACGTTTTCCCCCCTTTGTGATGTAACATCGTACCTAGTGCTGCTCTCCCATACCCTCATACTCATATTGTCCTTGCGGGATCGCGAGCCAGGGTTATTATTTTGAGCTTGGCGCTTTGTGCTATCTGTGCGAAGGAGGGATGTTGGGTCCAAGCTGAGATTTATCGCTCAAGCGCGAGCGGCATTGAACCCAGACCGGGCGCACACCTCGTGCGCGAGAACGACGTCGCGCTCCGTCGGCTCGAGCTGTAGCAGTCAGTCCACTGAACACAGAGATCATACACGCCACCGAGTTATGTAGCTTGTCTCCCCGCCTGGAATTAGTATGCATCTCTAACCGTAGCTATGTTTGAGTTCAATCTCCAACTTGAATTAAGGCAGGGCCAGTGCAAACAGGTGATGTCACGTGATTAAATTCCCGCCTTTTGGTGCACGAAGAGTGAAATGTACCCAAGACGAGGAAAATCCCCGTCCGCACAGCTCTTTATCCCGAAAATATATCAGGTGTTAGAGTAACGCCGAGACGACGACATCCCCAACCATGACCGGCAACCGCCGGACGTGGCCTCACGCCGGCGGTTGGCCCTCTACCTTCTCCCACATTGGGCGCGGTAGAGGTAAGATCATCGCATGCTACCCCCGCCGTATACATGTATCTAACAGTGCCTACAGCCTTGGCTAACACGCCGACTGTCTAGGTTATTGAAAAAATACGGCCAGGCATCGATAGATAATTAAATGTTGGACAGATCTCTCCACTCATAATTCTACTCCAACGAACGATAAGTCATCTTTCTCGAGTTCAGGGCGTATCTGAGAGTGGTCTGGAGGCTTTGGCGGCGCACACGTGATAACGCCATAGAGCTCCACATTACCAGCGTTTGCTCTAGCCCTGCCTTAAAACCCTGGAACGGCAAACATTCTACGCAGATTTGATGAGTATGGACATGATTTGTTGTACTACAGCGGTGCAAGCGAAGGTGAATTGCCGGGACCCCGCCCTTTCCCAACTCTAGTGCATCAAGTCGACGGTCAAATGTAAACCCCACCGCGAAGCGAGAGCATATGGAACGAGGCGGTAAGTAGTGCCTTCACTAGAAATCTCGACGACGTGACAGCGAAACCCCGACTGGCCACAAACAACACAAGACACATTTAAAAGACGCATCGGCATGGGGGACGAGGAGCCTGGGCGGGCGACGCGGATTCAGGTGCCGAAGATTCGGAAGAAGGCGCGGGCTTGGGCCGCACGTAGTCCGACGGGAGGAGGAACCACGGGTCGGGAACGGTCACCCACTTCGGCTTGAGACCGTCCTGCTCGAGGATTGCCTTGAACTTGCGGTCGGACTCGCGCTCCTCCATCGGCTGGCAGGTGGACGACGTCGCAGTCGGGTCGTATTGCGTTTGGCGCGCGAGAAGGACGATGGGCGTGCCCCGGCGAGCGAACTCGTCTTCGCCGTTGGCGTTGCGTCTGAGCAGCGCCTTGGGCCAGTCGGTCGGGATGATGGAGGCGCGCCCGTTTGCGCCGGCGCGGTGCCAGGCGAGCGCGATGGCCGTGGATGCGGGGGTGGTGTCGTCGTCGTCCGTCAGCCAGCTGTGCTTCCGCGCCCACCTCTCGGCGTCGGACAGGCTGATCTTGTAGCCAGCGTACACGTCGGCTCCGCGTTCTCGCATGGTCAAATCTGCACTCGAAAACACGAATATCAGAGCCGCGTGAGGATAGAGGCAAGCCAACTACCACGTATCGCTATAACACGGTTCAAATGTGTTTAAGAGAGGTAAACGGCAGTCTGAACCTCTGGGGTAATCCAGGGGATGTCTTCAGCTCTTGGCGCGTCAATACGTATCCAACCAGACGGTCATGTGACCGCTATTCTTTCCGCTCGCGCCGTTCCCAGAGTCCTCCGTTCTCATCGATCGCCCCTGCCAGTTCTACTGAACGAGCTCAAAGGAGATGCCTACGAGCGCAAAACATCATTGTCCTCTGGCGCTTGTCGATAGCTGAGCCTCACCTGCACATGCAGGATCCGGGATACCCATTGTCTTTAGCCGCCGATTCTGGCTAGAAGACTGCTCGCTTCTCGATATCGCCGACGATTGACGTTGTTTTCTCCAGGGCAAACCGCAGGGTGCGCATGTCGTTGCGCTTCTTATTCTGGGCGGGGAGACCTGGAAGTATACTTGGAATGCGGCCCAGAGGAAGTGGGCCCACGACGGCGCTGCTCTCGTGACGGGTGGAACAGCTTTCCGCCAGATTCTCCAACAGGTTGCAGACCAGAAGAAACGCGCTCCGAGCCAAGTCTTCTGATTTTGTGGATATATGTGGCCGGAATCGATGTATTACTTGGATACTGTACTATGATCATGACGATAGGTTGATTTATATCACTGTTGCAACCTGCAGAAATGTAGCAATTGTTTTCGACCATCCATCCCCAAACACGCGCTCGCCTTCACTCCAATGTCATTCCTGCTCGCCATATTCTTCATCGCCAAGGTGCAACCGAGGTCAGTCCGCGACGTCTGCTACACGACAGACAGTCATTGTATATCTCACATCCAAGTCAACCGCTATCATTTACGTACACCTGAGCTCGGGAGATTACCGCACAGAGGACCGCCTCAATAAGTTTTCTACGTCATGTTCAAGTGTACAATTGTGCGCGCAGCAACCTCACCACTGGACATTATTGCACGATATCGGTTCATCCAATTACCCACCCGATCTGCGCGTTCAGTGATGGGAAGGCAGACGACAAAAGATGGGCGATATGGTCGAGTATACGGTGCGTTGTCGGTCACGACATACTACTACGTTACGTACATTTGACATGAACGGACGGAGAATGGCGACGGGGATATGATGCCACGGACGTGATGGCAAGTCCCTTAACACTTCGACACGAGCAGGAGCTGTAGCAGGGCACAAACGTCAAAGGGCTTCGAGAAAGAAGCATCAGTGCGGGGGCTCAAGAAGGGCGCGAGGTAAAGTCGACTCGGCGGGCAGTTGTCATTAAGCCATGGAAGCTGCAGCAAGAGCCTCGGCAGACGACGCGGATCCGGGTGCTGCAGAAGGCGCAGGCTTGGGCCGGACGTAGTCCGACGGAAGGTAAAACCACGGGTCGGGGACGGTCACCCACTTCGGCTTGAGACCGTCCTTCTCAAGGATCGCCTTGAACTTGAGGTCCGACTCGCGCTCCTCCATCGGCCGGCAGGTGGACGACGTCGCAGTCGGGTCGTACCGCGTCTGGCGCGCGATGAGGACGATGGGCGTGCCCCGGCGAGCGAACTCGTCTTCTCCGTTGGCGTTCCGCGTGAGCAGCGCCTTGGGCCAGTCGGTCGGGATGATGGTGGCGCGGTCATCCAGGCCCGCGCGGTGCCAGGCAAGCGCAATGGCCGTGGATGCGAGAGTAGTGTCGTTCGTCAGCCAGCGATGTCTCCGCGCCCATCTCTCGGCTTCAGGATAGCTGATCTTGTAACCCGCAAAGACGTCGGTTCCGCGTTCTCGCATGGTTGGAACCTGCGCTCGAAGCACGATTATCAGAGCGCGTGAGGACAAAGGTAGGGCGGCACTGACCACGTATCGCTATGACACAGTATAAACGCGCCAAATGGGTCTGAAAGGTAAACGGCAGTCTGCGTCTCGGAGGCCCTCCAGGGACGGTCGGTTAACTCCGGCTCTGAGGACGTTCGAACGACTGACAAAATGCTCGGCGAACACGTTCCGGCGAACATCCCACGGTACACCGATCGCATCAACTCATTATCCGCCCGCAATGCAGAGGTACACGTCGAACCCGCCTGTTATTGGTCTGTTAAGCCACCGCACATCATCGTCTGCTGTCGCGTGAGGACCAAGCGCAGATAATATCGGTCCATGTCATCACTCGCCCAATCTGCCCGTTCAGTACACTGGAGGAAGATAACAGAAGACAGGTTATATCCATCGGGAATCCGTACATTTGGCACAAACGACAGAGACGGCGACGGAATACGATGCCACGGAAGTGGTGGCAAGTGCCTTCACCATTTCCGACTTGAACAGGCACCGTAGCAAGACACAAACGCAACACATTTGAGAAAGAGGCATCTATATACCGAGCAACGCGTAGGGGTAAAGTCTCGACACGACGGGGGGGCAGCTGTGGTCAGGCCGTGGAAGCTGTAACAAGAGACCGGGCAGATGATGCGGCCGCGGCTTCGGGCTCGGACGAGGGGCTCGTCGTCGGCTTGGGTCGGACATAGTCCGACGGAAGGTAGAACCACGGATCGGGAACGGTCACCCACTTCGGCTTGAGACCGTCCTTCTCGAGTATCGCCTTGAACTTGAGGTCGGACTCGCGCTCCTCCATCGGCTGGCAGGTGGACGACGTCGCGGTTGGGTCGTACCGTGTTTGGCGCGCGATGAGGACGATGGGCGTGCCCCGGCGAGCGAACTCGTCTTCGCCGTTGGCGTTCCGTCTGAGCAGCGCCTTGGGCCAGTCGGTCGGGATAATGGTGGCGCGGTCGTCTGCGCCAGCGCGGTGCCAGGCAAGAGCGATGGCCGTGGGTGCGGGAGTAGTGTCGTCCGTCAGCCAGCGATGCTTCCGCGCCCATCTCTCGGCTTCGGAACAGCTGATCTTGTAACCCGCAAAGACGTCGGTTCCGCGTTCTAGCATGGTGAACCTGCACTCGAAGGTCGTAAATCAGAGCGCATGACAGAAAGGGCAAGAGAACACTGACCACGGATTGCTACAGAACGGTGTGAACGTATTCGAGAGGTAGGCAGTAGCATCGTCAGGAATTTAGTGGTTGGATGCTGACGTAAACAGTTCGCTTACGCGCTTCGTCGCCGACATTGGGTGTCCGCACGGCACTGTAAGCAAAGCATGAAGTACGAGAAGGAGAGTAAGAGCCTGTAAGAGCGCCACGAAGCACCGGACCCGCCTCAAGTCTTGACGAATAGGCAATCTAACATCGGAACCTTTGCGGAAGGGCCGATGTCCTGTCTCAAGGCATATAACATCCATACCACCATACCATACCTCTATAATGCCGACGTAATGAGTAGACCATGCATAAACAATTCTAACCCTCGGATTGCATGAAAGTAAGCCTAGAAGCTTCAGCAACAGATATCGTCTACAATCCTCCCCAGTTTACTCGACATTCACGGGTATTCGCTCGGATCCGCGCCTGTAGTAATCTTCTGGGACGTCCTCGATGAAATCGAACGGAAGGAGCATGAACGGGTCAGGAACCATGACCCATTTCCACTCTATTCCGTGCGTTCCCTCTAGGATGGCCTTCAGCTGGCGATCGGACTCCCTTTCCTCAACCCAAATACAGCTAGAAGCGGTTGCCCTCGGGTCGTAGTACGACACGCACGCGATCATTACACTGGGGTTGCCCTTTCTGACAAGTTCGTGCCGCACTACTTCTCCGTGGTCGTCGAAGACCCGCTTGAACTTGGCCTTCGGCCAGTCCGTTGGTACGACTTTGCCGGACACCTTTGGGCCAAGCTTGTCCCAGTTCTGCCGTATGCATTGGCCAACGAATCCGTCTTCGGATAGATGCCAGCCACGCTTTTTGATCCAGGCTTCAGCGTTTGCGTAGCTGAGCATATATCCGGCGTAGACAGGTGCACCCATGGTACCTGTCATGCACTCGTTAGTGAAGGCTTTCATCAGAGTGTAATCAGCGCTCGTACAGATCAGACACAATCAAAGATGCAACACGATGGAGGAGCCCGTATATGATATAGGTTCTGGTATTCGGCTCAGCTGCACGGCTTTCGAATTCGAATGTTTCTCAACCACGCCACGTGACCTCCGACGGAATGACCGTGGCGTTTCCGCAGAGGACCAACCCCAATCTGCGCGTTCAGGCAATTTCATCGAGAATACGGCGCGTTGACGGTCGTGACATATATTACGCTAAGCACAGCTTGCATGAACGACGGAGAATGGCGAGGGGAGGGGGGGTATGATGCTACGGACATGGTGGTAAGTGCCTTCACCCCACTTCGACGTGAACAGGAACTGTGGCAAGATACAAACGAGAGAGAATTCGGTGCGGGGGTACGAGCAGCGCGCAGGAGAAAAGTCCACACGACGGGCAGTTGTTGCTAAGCCGTGGAAGCTGCGACAGTGGATCTCAGGCAGATGATGCGGCGGCGGCGGCTGCTGCTGCTCCGGGGACAGACGAGGGCGCTGTCTGCTTGGGCCGGACGTAGTCCGACGGGAGGTGGAACCACACGTCGAGGACGGTTACCCATTGCAGCCTGAGGCCGTCATTCTCGAGTATGGCCTTGAACTTGCGGTCGGATTCGCGCTCTTCCATCGGCTGGCAGGTGGACGACGTCGCAGTCGGGTCGTACCGCGTCTGGCGCGCGATGAGGACGATGGGCGTGCCCCGGCGAGCGAACTCGTCTTCGCCGTCGGCGTTCCGCCTGAGCAGCGCCTTGGGCCAGTCGGTCACGAGGATGGTTCAGGCGAGCGCGGTCCCAGGCCCGCGCGATTGCTATCGGCGCGTCTATGCCGTCCTCGTCGTCGGCCAGCCAGCTATGCTTCCGCGCCCATCTTTCGGCGTCGGGTAAACCGATCTTGTACCCGGCGAATACGTCGGCTCCTCGTACTTATGGGCATGGTCGATTTCGGAAGCTATGGATGCGCTGGGGTGTGGACTGAACGTCAAAGATTTGGTGGCTAGACACACTGACGTGAATTCAATTCTTTGCCAACGCGCTTCGTTTCCGAGACTGGGTGCCCACACCGCAGTGGCCGCGCACTGGAAGCAAAGCGTGAAGTACGAGAAAGAGAGCGAGAGCGCCACATGGCTCGGACATGGTCATATCGAATCCTTCGCGAAAGAGCCGACGCGATGACTCGAGGCTTTCATTTCTCTGTAAACACGTCTACAATGCATAAACAATTCTACCGGGCTCCGTTTGCGTAGAAGTAAGCATAGATGCATCAGGCGACAGATATCCGCGTCCCCAGTTTACTCGACGTTAACCAATACTCGCTCGGACCCGCGTCTGTAGTAATCCTCTGGAACGTCTTCAACGAAATCAAACGGGAGCAGCATGAACGGGTCAGGAACCATGACCCATTTCCACTCAATCCCATGCGCTCCCTCTAGGATGGCCTTTAATTCGCGATCAGAGTCCCTTTCCTCGATCCAAATACAGGTGGAAGCGGTTGCCTTCGGGTCGTAGCGTTTTGCGCGCACGACCAACACGATGGGATTGCCCTGTCTGACGATTTGGTGGCGCACTACTTCTCCGTGCTCGTCCAGAACCCGCTTTTTCTTGGCTTTGGGCCAATCCGTTGACATTACGTCGCCGGACGCATCTGTGTGGAGCTCCTCCCAATGGCGCCGTATGCAGCGGCCAACGCTACTGTTCTCCGATACATGCCAGCCGTGCTTTTCCGCCCAGGCTCGGGCGTCTGCGTCACTGAGCATATAGCCGGCAAAAACAGTCGCACCCATGGTACCTATAACGTGCAGCTACGTCAGTGAGGGATACAATCAACCTGAAGACAGCGCTCGTACAAATCGATGGTGCTCAAAGACGTGCAATGACGGAAGAATCTGTGTATGCTTTGGTATGGGATCCTATGCATGCAACCGCTCGTGGCTTTTGAATGTTTCTCAACTTCGCCACGTGACTGCAACCGCACCTTCGGATTGACCGCGAATCAAAGCATCATCCTTCACAGCGCTATTATTCCCATCTCGCAGTGCCTGTCTTCTGTGCAGTCACACATGTGGCTGACAATAGTTCCTTGACTGCAACATACGGTTCCTTGCCGCTCAGAGAATAGATGACCCGGAAATGCAGGTCTTTCTGCCCCATCCTATAATGTGTTGGTACTGAATATGTGATTGTCAAACATTTACCTGCAGCTGCAGCATTATAGTTGTCTGGGATAGCACTTCAGACTGCACCCTGGATGCTGGATGACTTTTATAATTCTTATAGTAATGCGGCTCTCAGGCTCATTTTATCTCAAAGTCGATTGTTGGAAGACAGCAATTGAACTTCGCACCTTTATTACCACCTCTCCAGTCTTGAGAGTATAAGTGCAGAGAGAAGTTTTGATGCAGTTTCCTCACCACCAGCTCCATCGAGACTGCTCCTCTGAGTACACAGAGGTGTGCCCTTTGGTTCTCTTCTTTGCACGGAGCTTCGTGAGAAGCCTAACTGACATCAATACTTATAGCTAAATAAGAACTGAACGGGCCTCCGTTTGTGACCATCAGTGTATATCTGGTGTCTTCTGATAAGGTCGAGATACTTCTACAACCACGGACCCGTGCCTCGACGTACTCACTTTCAGTTTGATTTAGATGTACGAAGACATACCTGTTTGGATTTTGTCGCGTATCAATAACCTCATCTACGCGGAGAAGCAATACGAAGCCAGTTATTATGGTCCTATTGGAGGACTATTTTGGGAAATATTTCGGGGAAAGGGCGGCTTTCTAACAAAGGCCCAGCCAAAGTTGCGACCGGCTCTTTCAGACCAAAACGAGGAAGCGGATGCCAACACGTCCGTAGATTCAACGGGGATCTTCGTCGGGGGAAACATCACAAGCGCTGGCACTCCTGACTTTATTATCTGCAAGGCGTCGTCACGACTTGACAGTGACGTCCCCCTGGTACTCATAGAGATTAAACGGGCTGGCGAAAGTGTGAGTTCGGCAATGGCGCAACTGTCGGATTACATGGATGCTATGGAGGACCGACCTCGAGGCTACGAAGTCCTTGCACTCCTCATCGTGGGTCCGGACACTTGGGCATTCACCTATGACGAGGAAACGGGAGATTGGATTACTGCTGTTTGCAAAAGTGATGGCGCGTCGTGCTCCAACACAACTTTTGTCGCGTTCGGGCACGTCCACCGGATATCGACGATATCTTGACAACGACGGCGAATTTTTAGATGATTTATACATGAAAGTCGTAGCCCTTGACGTTCTGCAGATGCAAGGCTAGAAATCTCGGAGAAATGACGGATAGTGTGATCTCTCTCGGTGCAAAGGACACCACATGAGTATATCGACCGTTTGACGAGCAATCATGGAGCTTGGACTTCAGGAATAAGCTCGTATGATGCAGGACTTAGCTACCGAAGTGCATGTGTGGTTGTATTCCGAGGTCGTGAACATGTGTTCGGTAGACTGGAGTGCGCGTGCCGCGCCTCCTTGACCATGCTCAATGTTCCACCATGCACGGCAAAGCACTCTCCAACGACCTTCGTGCTACTATTATCCGCATGCTTCCGTTCTTCAGCAGGAGCGACATCTCAATTTGGACTGGAGCTAGTATTCGAACAATTTCACGTGTAGTCAGCCAAACCATGGAAACCGGGTCTGTGGACACACCGAAGAGTTCACGGAGGTTGATAGGAAGGGGCCGGCACATTGGGGAGGAAGAACTTGCTGTTGAGTCAAACAAGTTACTTTGAGGCATTACCCGTGACAGTTTCTGACTAGTATATGCACGGTATACTGGCGAAGAACTGCAGCACGTACCTCGAGGATCTCCGTAAAGAAATCGAAGATTCCTGTGGCAAATTGGTGTCAAAATCAACTATTTGGAGGTCCCTGAAGAATGCTGGTATGAGTATGAAGAAAGTACGCTGCGCCCGCTGTGTTCTGCATGGCAAATTCTCACTGATGCCGCTGTCGGAAGGTCACACGTATTGCACTCGAACGGAGTGCGGAGAAGCGAGCTCACTATAAG